CACCCAGTACTTAATTTGAAAGTAGTTGTTATATTTCAGAAACTTCATTTTTGTGGCTGCCACAAACTATGTTAAATTTGTCAAGACTTGATAAGATATTCATTGGGAAACTATAGCAAAATGTGCTGCAGGAAAACAACGTTTTTGCAGTTTAACAAACTTTTCCCATGTTTTTAAGATACAATCAATTAGGAAATGACATTTACAACCCAGGAATAAAAATTGCGTTACATAGGGTCCCAATAAGTGGATACCAGCACTAGCAGTGGGTCGCCCATGGATCTGTGCGCCTGGCAAGACGAAGAAACTATAACCCAATATTTCCCAATCAAAAAATCTCATCAAGTTGAAGAAGCCACCAAGTTTTTGGTTTTTTTTTGTTTTTTAAGGAGAGCTAAAGTAGATGTCAGCTTGCGGTAATCTGCCAAAGGAAGCTGAGATGAGATAACATTGAAAAACAAACATTTTTATACAGGACAATTCTTTGAAATTCCTGCTCCCACCCCATTGTAATTGGTGGAGCTCTCTTGACATCACAAGCAGCTGAGCGGGGTTCTCTGACGAGGCGAGACTGTGGTGCCTACCAGCCAATCAGAGAGCATTCTCCACTTCCAATGCAGATTTACGCTCTCCAATGGGTGTGGAGGGGGGGGCGGGGAGGATGGAAACTTTAGACAAAGAAGTCATTGTTTTATTATTGGATCACATTGTTCCAACTCTGGGACAATGAGTTTTATTGTTGTCTTTAATGAGCTCCAACTGAGCGGATCTGGTGACTCTTCCCCAGTGTCCATTGTGTTCCAAAGCAGCATATTGTCCATGATGATAGGATTAAGAATCTGTTCCTGAGGGAAAGGGCAATGGCATTGTGGAAAATGTGGGTCTTATATTTATTTCCTTGCATCCAATGGTTTTTCAGGACCCCAATCAAACCAAAGATACATTGGACGGGGCTTGCAAACAGAGAACATAGTCTTCCTCTGTTTCTTATGGCCAGACATCGCCATCTGGAGGCATTGTAACTACATCCTACAGCACCCTTAGGGAGAGGGTTTAAGAAGAGCTGATTCTCAGCAGGTGTTCCTGAAACACAAGTAGGAAACTGATACAACCAGGACCTTCCACATTTGATTTTATCTAGTAGCTGACCAACACATCAGGAAAACAAGTTGGGGAATTGCTGTTGGGCATCTTATTAATAACAACCCACAATTTCTTCAAGTAAATCGGGGTATCACAATATTGGCAACTTCATATATACTTTGTAGGACAGGTTATAATGCAAAGGAAACTGGTTGATGGTCATGCTATTCATGTCATTACAGAATCGAGATTTGAACCTGAGTTTCCCCATTCTCATTTACCCTCCATTTGTTGGGTTTAGTGGCCCAGAACTCCTGTGAAAGTGAAGAACCATGAATAAAGAAATTGCTATTTTTTTCACCCCTCTAAGAATTTCTAGGTCTTCCAGCATGAAGTTATAGTTAACTTTTGAAGGAATCGTATTGGAGGGCCTAGAGATTGCTAGAGAGGTCTTCTCTGTCTCTAGGGACCTTATCATATGTAGAAATTTCCCTGTTTTTAAAACACTTTAAAATCGCAGCCCCATGGTGGAGATCACATGACACAAAGCTACTTCTGGGCCGTCCCTGTTGGACCCTGGCTTGGTGGCCAGCAGCACAAATAAAACCATTTCCATTATGAGAACTTAGTGCAGCAGTAAGCCAAAACAATGTTGGAAATTGCGATCTAATTGATACCAGAAAATAAGGACACGTAAACTTGTTAGGTCTTGTTTTCCAAAAATCATGAGATTTCACGCTTCTTGTATTGAACAGTTACACTTCTTTATGAGAAAAAAAAAGGAAAAGAAAGCGATATGGGCAGAGGCTCCACTTCTCCACATAAAAGCAAGCAAAGAGGATGATTGTGGTTGAGATGTTTTTGGTCCACTACGTGTGATAGGGAGACTAAATTCTCCATTTTATAACAACATGAATAGGCACAAATAGCCATGGAACGCTATGTTAAGAAGTTGGCTTCCCTCTGGTTTTTTACCTAACAGGATGAGGTCCTAGAGCTGTTCTCTTCCTAGACCACTGTTTCTAAACCTTCCTAATACCGTGACCCTTTAATACAGTTCCTCATGTTGTGGTGGCCTCCAACCATAAAATTGTATTTTCATTTACTGGACCAAATTTGGCACAAATACCTGATACGCCCACATTTGAATACTGCTGGGGTTGGGTGGAATTGATTTTGTCACTTGGGAGTTGTAGTTGCTGGGGTTTATAGTTCACCTTCAATCAAAGAGCATTCTGAATGCCACCAATGATGGAATTGAACTAAACCTGGCACACAGAACACACAGAACTCCCACGACCAACAGAAAATACTGGAATGGTTTGGTGGGCATTGACCTTGAATTTTGGAGTTGAAGTTCACTTGCATCCAGAAAACTGTGGACTCAAACAATGATGGATCTGGACCATGAATACTCAATATGTCCAAATGTGAACACTGGTGGATTTTAGGGAAAATAGACCTTGGCATTTGGGAGTTGTAGTTGCTAGAATTTATATTCACCAACAATCAAAGAGCCCCTTGAACCCCCCAAAAAATGAGAGATTTGGGACAAACTTCCCATACAGAACCCTCATGACCAATAGAAAATGCTGGAGTAATTGACAGTGATTTGGGGGAGATGTAGTTCACCTACCTTTGGAGAGCACTATTCCTAAGACCATCAGAAATATGTGTTTTCTGATGGTCTTTGGCAATCCCTGTGACACCCCACTTGTGACTCCCCCCCCCACCTCCCRGAGTTCCGATCCCTAGGTTGAGAAATGCTGTCCTGTGTCCTCCAGAATAACCAGAGGAAGCTGACTAGAAGAAGTCAAACTGGAGGACCTAGGGAGATAATATTTTAATCAAATCCTCAAAAGTCAAAACTGCAAATATGGAGGAACAACTGCAAACAACTGTAGARTCTATTTCCTATCCCACATGGGGTCTGAAATCCATGACAAGCAAAGATTCAGCATGAGACAGTGAAGACTTCAATGCATCTCACTACAGTCTARTTTGAAAAGCTATATTGTTAATATTATATTGAGTTTGCACTACTTTAACTGTCACAGCTCAATGCTATGGAATCATGAGCATTCTAGTTTTACAATGTCTTTAGACTTCTCTTCCAACGAGCACTTCACCAAACTACTCCATAATGTTGAGCCATGGCAGTTAGTGTTATCAATTGAATGTTTGCTGTTGTATATTGGAATCCGCCGAGTCCCCCTGGGGAGATAGGGTGGAGTATTAATAAATTATTATTGTTATTATTATTTGAAACACAACAAGATGAATCCACAGCAGAGAAGATCACTCTGCTGGCTATTGTACTGGATCACATGTGAGCCACTTCCCAAGTGTCTAGGACTGTGTGATGTATCAGCAAATGATGTGTGCAGATCCCAGTAAGGTGGCCTTCTGCAGCTGGCAGATGGTAATCTTGTCAGCACCGATTGTGTTTAAGKGCAGGCCAAGATCTTTAGGCACTGCACCCAGTGTGCYGATCACCACCGGGACCACCTTTACTGGCTTTAAAGTTCGATCTTTAAATCCTCATATTGGGTCAACTTATTATTATTATTCACAAACTGCATCATTAATTCCCCAGTGTAGATGTGGCTCTAGTTCTTCAGCTTCGAGCCATGAGGAGAGGCAGATTAAAAAAAAAAAAAAGAATAATGATAATTTATTGGCATAACTAATATAAGGTCCACTATGAGGGCATAGTTTCTTCAATATCTTGGCCATGAATTTTTATAAAAATTTGCCATCAGTTAGTGATTTCCCACTTTCAGCAACACATTTAGCAGTTGTATATCTGTTCCTCACAGCAGACAAATTCTCCTTGACATTCTTTTTGAAATAATTTTGCTACAGAACGATAGCATTAAGAAAATGCTTTATCATGTTCATTTCCAACTCTCTTTATCTATTGAGAGGTCCTTGTGACTAAACTCTAAATGCCTCAACAATGAATTCCTTTAATACTGAGACAGTTTCAAGGAATAGAAGTCAAATTGCTTTGCTCTTGTTTAAAGGAAAGGAACGGTTCATCGTCTGTTGGAAAAGTACTTTTGTAACCATTTTCTTGCAGAATATATGGTGTAGAGGGATGGTTGGAGAGCTTCCATATAGATATCATATAGAAACAAAAAAAATATGGACATCAACAAGTTGAAGAATTGCAGTAATGTAGCCCTTTCATGATACTCCAAGATGAACTTTGCTCTGCTAATGGCGCTGGTGGCCCTGAGGGCAGCTCCAATTGAGCTTAATCCACTATTTCAAAAGAGGTAGAAAGCTCTCATGACATTCAAACAAAGTCCTAGTTTGACAGCACCAGTCTGGACCTCTGTTCCCATCGTAACCATTAGGCCTGGGTAACAACAGAAAAATTTGTTTCTAAAATCGATTCGTTTTTTGGGGTTTTTTGCGTTTCGATATTTAAAAGAATTCCGAAATTTTCCTTTAAAAAAGTTCGATATTTACGAAATTTCGTAAATGGTAAAAAAAATTACGAAACAATAACGAAACAATAACGAATCGATTCGTTAATGGCGGCCGCGATCGCGCAATACGCTAAAAAAACTTCTGAAGCTTCCCTCTCCCTCTGTTGTTGACTGTTGGTGTGATATTATATTTTTTTTTCACTAATTAAACAAAAAACAACTATAAAACTTGCCCCAGACATGCGGAAATAATAATGAAACGACCTCAAACCAATAACTAAACGAATACATAACGAAATACGAAGCATTTACGAAACGAATTAAAAAATTCGTTTCGTTTTTAAGTTGCTCCAGAATGGTTCGTTATCGCTTCGTTAACAAAAAATTAACGAATTTTTAACGAATTACGAATTAACGAAACGAAACCGCCCATCCCTAGTAACCATGTAGGTTGACAACAAATAACAAGACACAGGGTGACTTGTTTCAAAATTTGCTTTTATTTGTTAGCAGTGGTGGCAGTGGCCATTTGAGGAGAGACAAGGCTTAGAAGAAGTGGGCCAGGACTGAGCCAAGATGTGAGTTGGCTTCACTCAGCTCCAAAAGAAGGGGACTTTGGAGGGAATGGACTAAAGGGTTCATTGAATGGATGGGTCTGGTGGCCACATGGGGTGAAGCCAAAGACTTTATGCTGCGGTGCCCCTTTCTGTTTTCATTGAGCAGCTTGTCTCTGGCTGTTTTATGCTCACTTTCCACAACTGGGGCAGCTAGTGGGGTAGTTATCCCAGTGGAAACCGATGGCATCAATGACTGAACCGGAGCTGCCACTGATGTAACGCAAGACGGTGCCAGGGTACAGAGGAGCAGCATTAAAGCTGGTGCCTGTGTCCTTCCCAAAGGGAAAGTAGCGCCCTTTGTCAGTAACAAACACGAGTTTGCGGACGTAGTGCTTGTATTTCCCTATGACCTGGATGATGGATTCGCCTGGGTGCAGGAAGATCTCCTCTAGGTCTCCAGATGAGCCTCCCTTGTACTCACTCCACTCTTTGCCATACCGGACCTGGATACTGGAAAGAGCAGAAGATGTATGCGCTAAGGTCAGGCCCGTAGCCAGGATTTCATTTCGGGGGGGGGGGGATTTTTTCAGGGGGGTTCAGGGGGGCTGAGTTTGTTTGGGGGGGCTGAGTCTGAGTGAAAGAGGGTCTACCCTAGCAAACCTTTTGTATCATTACCCCAATACCCCCATGCATATGGGATATATTGAGTATGGTGATCAGATCATGATATGAATAAACATAACAGTTTAAATAATGCACCAGTAAGGCCTTTTCGCGAACCACCATGAGAATTTCAGGGGGGGGCTGAAGCCCCCCAAGGCCCCCCCCCCCCGGCTACATGCCTGGCTAAGGTAGGATGCAGGCCACTCTGAGGCCCCATCTACAGTGCCATATAAAATTCAAATGATCTTTTTTGAATTGGATATGGCAGTGTAGACTAATATAATCCAGTTCAAAGCAGATAATCTGGATTTTATATAGCAGTGTAGATGGGGCCTTCCAGGTTTTTTTGTGTGTCTTGAGAGGACTATCATGAAGGCACTCATTAGTCCACTGAAACAAATATGCTTAATCAACACAGATTTTAGTTCCAACCAAGCACTAACTAGCCTCGATCCTGCTCAGCTTCTATAACCAAATGGGATTTGGTGTCTTCAAGGTATTTAGGTCTTGATCAGAACCTAATTTAAATTAACTCTCTGGCTAAGCTCTAAATCTTTTAAGTCCTGGTTGTTGTTGTTGTGTGCCTTCAAGTCCTAAGTGGTGACCCTAAGGTGAACATGTTGCTGATTTTTTGTAATCAAGGATGTATTACTTGTTCAATGGGTTTTCATGGGCAAGTTGGGATTTGAACTCTGTTCTCCAATCATACTCCAATATTCAAACTGCTACGCCACACTTTGAGTCTGCATTAATTCCAACATTGGCATTAGAAGTTCCATTCATTGGGGAGGTTCTCATTCATTGTCAGCCTTTGTGTATGTATGTAAATTGATTCATTAATTTTCTTAGAGAGGTAGTACAAATATCTAACCCTGGATGTTTTGGAATACAAACTCCACAAATCCTAACATTAACCACATGGGGTGAGGCTGATGGAAATTATGGGACAAAATATTTGGGAAACCTATTTTACCTTTCTTCCTCTCCTTTGCCAAGGAAGCTTTGCAGCAGGCAAGGGAATCATGTAACAATGCCCCAACTACAACTCCCATTTGCCTCATCCAACATAGTTGAGGATGAGGAATGCTAGAAGTCTTAGACATCTGTTGGCTGCATGATTCCCATCCCTGTTTTACAGAGATTCTTCTGAATTTCCTTACCCTATAATGTAATAGCGGCTAACGCGAATCCTAATGGCTGTTATGGGTCCGTCCAGCTGGTTTCCAGAGTGTGAGAAGCGTTTTCCGCCACCCCCACCATACTCGCCGGAATAGGATGAAGAACGTGCCTGGATGACTCCTAAAATAAATCCCAGAGCAGGAAAAGTGTTAATGAGAAGCGGAACCAGTTGGTGACTTCCATGTCATTGAGCTGTGCATGCAAATTTGCTCCCGGTTTTAGTCTGAACTTAGAGGGGCTAACCATGCTGGTCTTATTTTGAGGATAGTCTTCAGCACCATTTTTATTATTTATTTACTATTTACTATATTTGTATACCGCGTTTCTCAGCCCAGGGATGACTCAAAGCGGTTTACAGAGGCAAAATTCAATGCCCCAAAACATCATAAAACATTCAAAGCAATTAAAAACAATAGCATAAATATATAATCATAACTTAAAGAACTTCTTTAAAGTTCAGAGTAAAACCTAGAGTAAAATTAACTGCCATCCCCTGCAATGGGAAGAGGACACAACCTTTATTCTTGGACAATTAGAACCCTTTAGGAAAAAGGTACCCCCACGAAGGATTTACCTGCACTGGTGAAGCCACAGCAAAGTAAGGCGAGGAGGGTGAAACAAAGCATCCTAAAAGAGAGAGAATGTTGTGCGTACAATCCATTATTTTTTATTGTTAATCCATTCATGCTTTTATCATTACAAATTATTATATGATTGTTACATTTTATAATGTACCCCTTATCTGAAATGCTTGGGACCAGAAATGTTTTGCCTTTCAGAAGTCGAAATATTTGCATATTATTTGTATAATGATATCATGAAGATTCTTATACGTATTATTTGCATAACAATACCTTGAAGATGGGACCCAAGATAATTTTATACATTACTTATAATAATTTTGTGCAAGAAACAAGTTTCTGTACATTGAATCAGGCAACTCATTGAACTCAGCCACCCAACTGGACAGTTTTGGAGCATTTTGGAGTTCTGAATAAGGGATGCTCAGCCTGTAATATATTGCAATTTATCATCCCTTACGGAAGTCATATATACAATCTTCTCTTTATCCCATTAGTTTGGAAGCACATTTGAATTGCAGCCCAATTATGGAATGTCCTACTCTTTAGAGGCCAAATTGGTACCGACAGAGCTATTCTGTTGCCAAATAAAAGCATAGATGCCTACTAAAGCTTAAGGGGGTATAACTGGTTTCATCCAAATTTCTGAACACCAGTAGTTTTCAACTGTTTCACAACTGCTTTGGAACAATAAATGGTTTAAGAGACCATAAGCCTTTAAATTATTTGTGTTGTTTCAAATTGTTATTATTACTGTTCTATATCCAAAGATCCTTGGATATAGAACAGGATGCAAATATTTAAATAATAGACAAATGCAATAAAAATATGTGTTTCCTATTTTCCTGATCTTCCCAACAATCCTATGAGATGGGTTAAGGAGAAAAAAATGGAACTAATTGAAGGTTCACACAAGGCTTTCTTGCTGTACAGGAATGTGGACCAAAACCGAATGCAAATCTCACTGTCCAATTCAGATGCCCCAATCTTTGGATTCCTAGTGAACAATCAAAGAGCTACATTGAAATAAGCAAAGAAAGACCAGGCTTTGCTGCTTATCTTATACAAATAAAGTTATACCTTTTTTTAAACCAGGTAATTCTATCAAGACTTCATTTTCAAATAAAAGTCTTCCTTGTGGTCTTACTTTGTTTTATTGAGTTATCTCATCATTTTTCTCAGTAATAGGACTTGGGGCAGCTTGCAACAGTTCAGATTAAAAACTATCAGAAATGTACAAATATAAAATGAATTTTAAAAACAATTTGGGCAATATGTAAAGATAAAGGAATTAAAATCCATTGAAATCACATAAAGACAAGTACATGACACCATTAAAAATCTGCTGCAGTCTAAAATTTCGACAGAATCTTTTTACAGTATGATCCCCATATCCTTTGAACTGACATACACGGTTTCGCTTACTGTATATACCCATATACAGTAATTTTAGTCCAAAAATCAGCCCATAAATTATGGGTCGATTTATCCATGGGTCAATATAAGTATTTTACCTAAACTTTCCAAAACCTACTCTCAATTAATACATGAGGTTGCCTTATACATAGGTATATATGACAATCAATGAATTTATGTATTCATTTAGGGCAGTGTTTCTCAACCTGGGGGTTGGGACCACTGGGAGGGGGGTTGTGAGAGGGTTTCAGAGGGGCCACCAAAGACTATCAGAAAACACATATTTCTGGTGGTCTTAGGAGCCCTTTTGGCAGAGAAGGCTGAAGATCTCTCCACCTGTCCTTCTCTTCCTTTTTGGTGATGAACTACAACTCCCAGAATTCAAAAACGGCCCCCCCTCCAACCCCACCAGTGTTGGCAATGTAGGTAGTGTGTCAAGTTTGGTGCATATTCATTGTGGGCTGGGTTCAGAATGCTCATTGATTGTAGGATAACTATAAATCCCGGCAACTACAACTCCCAAATGTCATAGTCTATTTTCCCCAAACTCCACCAGTGTTCAAATGTGGGCGTATTGAGTGTTTGTGCCAAGTTTGGTCCAGATTCATCATTGTTTGAGTCCACAGTGCTATCTGCAGGCAGGTGAGATACAACTTCAAAACTCAAGGTTACTCCCCACCAAACCCTTCCAATATTTTCTGTTGGTCATGGGAGTTCTGTGTGCCAAGTTTGGTTCAGATCCATTGTTGGTGATCAGAATTCTCAGAATATAGGTTCATTATAAATCCCAGCAACTACAATTCCCAAATGACAAAATCAATCCCCCCAACCCCAGCAGTATTCAATTTGGGTGTATTGCGTATTTGTGCCTAATTTGGTCCAGTATGTAGAAATGCATCCTGCATATCAGATATTTACATTACGATTCATAAGAGTAGCACGATTACAGTTATGAAGTAGCAATGAAAATAATTTTATGGTTGGGGGTCACCACAACATGAGGAACTGTATTAAGGGGTCGTGGCATTATGAATGTTGAGAACCACTGATTTAGGGCTTCCTATGCTCTGTTCAGGTCCTCCTGGACAAGCTAAGCATTATTTTTGTGCCATGCTCCAAAAAAAGAACTTTTGCATGCTCTGTTGAAGAAGTATGAACCTCTTTATATTTACCTGAAACAGATATCACCCCCCCCCCCCCTCCCTGCAAACTCTACAAATACTGGATGTAGAGGATTTTCTATATGGTTTAGGAAATCATCCCAAAATCCTACCAAACCTCAAAGGAAGGAAGATAAATGTGAAAAGTACCCTCAACTTACATTGCAGCCCTTGGTCGATGCAGATCCGTGTCTGGGTTCTGCCGAATCAGCTGAAGGAAAATTTCATCTTTTATAATGTCCCTGAGGTTTGGGGTGTCAACTCTTTATCTTGAGAGCCTGCCTGCTGGGCAAACATCATTCATCTCTTATACAACTCTTTAATTGGCATATTCCTGGGAGTTCTCCAAACAAATCACCCCTCCTTGTCCTGGGCCATGGCAACCATCTGCTACCATGAGACCTGGATTGGTTCTGGAATGACCATTTCCAGCTGGGTGAAGTACTGCGCAATACAGATCTGCTTTAAACACAACAAACTATACAAAGGGAGAGATAGTGTCAGATACTGATTAGAGTTTTAGGCAGGGACTTTGGGTGCATCTATACTAGGCACTGGCAAACTTCAGCCCTCCCGGTGTTTTGGATTCCAACTTCCACAATTCCTAACAGCCGACAGGGCTGAAGTTTGCCCGTGCCTGATCTACACTGTAGAATGAATGCAGTTTGGTCTCACTTTAAATGCCATGGCTCCTTGCTATGGTATCATGGGGGTTATAGTTTATATAATAATAGTTATAGTTTATATATATATTATTATTATTAATAATAATAATAGTAATAATAATAATAATAATTGAAAAGTCGATGACAGATCCCAAATGTAGACTCTGCAAGGAAGCAGATGAAACAATAGATCACATCCTCAGTTGCTGCAAGAAGATCGCACAGACAGACTATAAGCAGAGGCATAACGCCGTTACTCAGATGATTCATTGGAATTTGTGCCACAAATATCATCTGCCTGCAACAAAGAACTGGTGGGATCACAAGTCGGAAAAAGTTACAGAGAATGAACACATCAAGCTACTCTGAGACTTCCGAATTCAGACAGACAGAGTTTTGGAGCACAATACTCCTGACCTCACAATCGTGTTAAAAAACTAAGTATGGATTGTCAATGTTGCAATCCCAGGTGACAGCAGGATTGAAGAGAAACAACTGGAAAAGCTGATATGATATGAGGATTTAAAAATCGAACTGCAAAGACTCTGGCACAAGCCAGTCAAGGTGGTCCCAGTGGTGATCAACACACTGGTTGCACTGTCTAAAGACCTTGGCCTGCACTTAAACACCACCGGTGCTGACAAAATTACCATCTGCCCGCTGCAAAAGGCCACCTTACTGGTATCTGTACACATTATTCATCGATACATCACACAGTCCTAGACACTTGGGAAGTGTCTGATGTGTGATCCAATACAACAGCCAGCAGAGTGTCTGCTGTGGACTTTATCTTGTAGTGTTTCAAATCATCATCATCATCATCATCATCATCATCATCATCATCACCATCATCATCTTTATTTTTAACCCACCTTCTCTCCCCTAGGGGACACAGGGTGGTTTCCAAAGTAAAGCAAAATGGCAAACATTCAATGCCAGTAAGAGACATAATAAACAATGTACAGACAGTTAAAGATAAATCAATAAAATCATATAAACATATAACATGTCATACCATATAATACAACATTGCACAGATTAAAATGCATATAAAAGATAAACATGTATAGCTCTTCATAATTTAGATATATCTGTTGTCAGCATCGTCACAGTAGAATTGATGTTAGTTTACTTTACTTCCTCAAGTGAGTTTTCAATTTTTTTTAACAAAGTGGAGTGATGAAGTCATTCTAGAGTTCTAGAAGGATGAGGCGACCACAGAGAAGACCCCTCTCTTATTCCCACCAACCAAGCTTGAGAAGGAGATGGGACCGAGAGCAGAGTCTCCTCCGATGATCACAGTGTCCGAGCATGGGGATGTGATTTGTCGAATAGTCTGGGCCCAAACCATTTAGGGCTTTATAGGTAATGACCAGCACTTTGTATTTAGCCCGGAAGCAGACTGGCAGCCAGGGGAGCTGCCATAACGTGGGATTTGTTCACTCCCTGTATAACACTCCAGTTAGTAATCTAGCTGCCAATCTCTGTCTTTAATGAAGCTTTCGAACTATCTTCAAAGGCAGCCCCATGTGGAGGGCATTGCAGTAGTTCAAAAAGGAAGTAACTAAGGCATGGACTACCATGGCCAGATCTGGTGTCTCAAGGTATGGGTGCAGCTGATGCCCAAGTTTTAAAGGTCTTTAACCTTCTCTGCCAAAGAGCAGTAGTGCCTCACCAAACTACAACTCCCAAACTGTTCCGAGCATAGATTACACTTATTTATTTATTTATTGTATAAGAGTGAACCAAACAGTTATATTGTATTTAAAACCAAAAGAACCCACAAAGTTTGCAAAGTATTAGATTATGCTAGTACTAAGCTATATATGCTGGGATCAAAAGCTTCCCTTTCTTGTGATGCTTGCTATTTGAGGTCGGTTTGAGGTCCAGATCCTTGGTCTTAATTGTGCTTCATTAGCTGTTCTTGATAATAAATAGTACTGGAAATGTATTTATTTTATTCTAAAAAGTTTAAAAGCTGTCATTTTGTTGCAGTACTTTCAAACAGCTCATGTTGGTTTGCTCACTGGGGAACACCAATTAACTGAGAGAAATCCTTGTGGTAGATGAAAAGCATTCCTTTAGAGTTTAGACAATGCATATTATATATAGAGAAATATATGGATTCCATAAATGTTAGCTCAGATTCCAAGACTGCTACTAATAAACCAACCTACTTTTTTACCCTTTGTTTCAGTGCATAATGTATACATTCGTTTGAGTCTAGTATTAAATAATAACTATGATTCTCCTTCAAATGAATCAGTCACCCTTTCATCTCTTTTATATAGTTCTCCCATTCATTGTTTCCAGCATCTTTTTATTTCTTCTAGTTTCTCTGCTAGCCATACAGCATCTCAGCTCTTGGTTTAAATCTCCCTTTGATTTCTCAGATCTTATGGAAGAGGTCTCTTGTTCTTCCATTTTTGTTGCCCCCTTCTATTTCTTTACATATATTGTTATAGTAGCTCTCCTTGTCCCTATTGTTGGAACAGTTTCATTCAGGGTTTTGACTCAAGAGGAAAGCAATTTGGGAATTTCACTAGGAGCTGCCTGTGATGCAACCAGGTAACAAGCTAAACTGGATGAAGTTTGCTATCCTTCACAGCCTTTAATGGTACAAGAAACCTTTCCAGTTTTTTACTCTGGACAACCTTATGGTAAAGCAGGATATGCTATTTCCCTTCTCTTTCATCCGGGTTCGAGATGGGCCTTTAAGGTAAAAGGCCACAATGGAATGGAAACGTGGAGATTGCATGCCGGCAATTGTGGGGTGGGGCTCCTAGAAAGTCTATAGAGATTACCAGAGATAACAGGAATGTCTCCATCCCCTTTGGACTATTAAGACACACCTCACCCAAGGGGTTTGGTGCCAGTCTGACTGCGCCCAGCCATATAGTATAGTACTGTATATAGTAAGTCCAGAGAAGTCCCTTACAAAAGAAAGGTAGCTGATACCATTTCACTTTTACAACTCTTCCTGCATGTTTTCGAAGCTATTAAGGTAATTTTTAGGAGGGGCATAGTTAGGTAACAGCAAGACCTATTCCACACTTCACAGGATGGCAAACACATCCGAGTTATGGTGCTTGTGCAGCTGAGCTACGTGTCTTCCACTGACACTTTCCTTGACCTGATTTGTTCAAAGGAGCTTCTCCATTGCATTGCTCTTGGGCTGAGAGAGTGTGACTTTCCAAATAGGCCTTCGTAGTTGAGCAGGGATTCAAGCTCTGGTCTCCCAAGCTCCTGGATAACACTGTGTAACAAATTTTGAAAAATCTTCTGTTACTTGTTAGAAAGTGTTATTTCCTGTTTAATGGTGCAGTGCTTAATTTGAACGTAGTTCAACAATGGGTTGTTGTAGGTTTTTTCGGGCTATATGGCCATGTTCTAGTAGAGGCATTCTCTCCTGACGTTTCGCCTGCATCTATGGCAAGCATCCTCAGAGGTAGTGAGGTCTGTTGGAACTAGGAAAATGGGTTTATATATCTGTGGAACAACCAGGGTGGGACAACCTTTTTCCATGTTTTTACAATGGAACCAATGAGGAAATGACATTTACAACCCAGGAATAAAAACTGTGTAGTGTAATGCTCAAACAACGACACCACACTGGTCCCAAGTCTATCTACTTGCACAATAACTTTGGGTTTCACAGGTTTGCCCCATGCACACATTATTTTTGAACACTTTTGTTGGATGCACCCTCAGACAAGGAACAGTTAGGGTTGGTTTGGCCAGGTATTTCCCATGGAACAGAGAATACAGGACCAGGATGCCTTGTCAGTCTCTCATCCAAGACCTAACCAGGGATTACTCTAATTAGCTTCCAGGACCAGAGGAGTTCTGGTCCTTGGGGGTCCTTAGGCTCCTCGACTTTAGCCCCTATCCTTTTCCTCTCCTCTTTCTTCACCTCTTATTCCCAATGCCCCTCTCTCCATCATTCTTCTTCTTTTCCCTGCAAACTCTTCTCCTTTCCCCTTTTCCTCCCTCCCCTCCCTCCTTCCTTCTTTCCCTTTATTTCCCTCCGCTCATTCCTTTTCTTCCTTTCACTCCCTTTCTTTCCCTTCCTTCTTTTCTCTACTTCTTTCTTGCCCTCTTTTCCTTCCTTCTTTTTCTTTCTCCCTGCCTCTTTTCTTTTCTTATCTCCTCTTTCTTTCCCCTTCTTTTCCATCCCTCCTTCTTTTTCTTCCTTCCTTGCTTTTCTTCCTTTCCCTCCCTCCTTCTTTTTTCTTCCCTTCCCTTTCTTTTCCTTCCTTCTTTTATTTCTTCCCTTCCTTCTTTCCTTCCTTTCCCCCTCCCTTCCTTTCCCTATCTCTTCCTCCTTTCTCTTCCTTCCTTCCTTCCTTCCTTCCTTCCTTCCTTCCTCTTTGCTTTTCTTATCCCCCTCTTCCTTTCCCTTTCTTTTCCTTCTTTTCTTCCTTTTTTTCTTCCTTGCTTGCATTTCTTCATTTCCCTCCTTCTTTCCCTCCCTTCTTTTTCTTTCCTTCCCTTTTCCCTTCTCTTCTATTTCTTTCCTTCCCTTCCCCTTCCTTCTTTCCTTCCCTTTCCCTTCCTTCTTCCTTCCTTTCCTTCCCTTCCCTTTCCTTCCTTCTCTCCTTTCCTTTCCTTTCCCTTCCCTTCCTTTCCTTTCTTTTCCTCTTCCCTTCTTTTCCCTTTCCTCTTCCCTTCTTTATTTCTTCTTCCCTCCCTCTTTGCTTTTCTTATCCTTCTCTTCCTTCCTCTTCCTCCCAAACTTATTTTTCTTCCTTGCTTGCTTTTCTTCCTTTCCCTCCCTCCTTCTTTGCCTCCCTTCCTTTCTCTCCCTCTTTCCCTCCCTCCTTGCTTCTTTTCTTGTTTCCCTCTTTTTCCTTTCCTTCCTTTCCCTTTCATTTCTCTCCTCCCTTCCCTCCTTTCCCTTTCTTCCCCTTCTTTGTCTTGCCTCCCTCCTTTCTTCCCTTCCCTTTCCCTTCCTTCTTTCCTTCCTTTTCCTCTCTCCCTCCCTTTTCCTTTCTCCTTCTCTTCCTCCCTTCTTCTCTCCCTCCCTCCTATTTGCTTTTCTTATCCTCCTCTTCCTTTCCCTTTCTTTTCCTTCCTTCCATCCTTATTTTTTTTCCTTCCTTTCTTTCTTCCTTCCCTCCTTCCTTCCTTCTTTCTCCCTCCTTCCTTTCTTTTCCCTCCTTCTTTTTCTTTCTCCTTCCTCTCTTCTTTCCTTCCCTCTTCCTTTCCTTCCTTTCTCTCTTCCCTTCCTCCTTTCCTTCCTTCTCCTTCTTTGTCTTGCCTCCCTCCTTTCTTTCCTTCCCTTTCTCTTCCTCCCTTCGCCCTCTCAGCTGCCTCTCTCTCTTCGGCCAGTAGATGGGGTCCTCCATCCCTCTCTTTCTCCTTCTCTCTCTCTCTCTCTCTCTCCTCCTCCTCGTCCGCTTTCCCCTTCCTGCTTTCCTCTCCCTCGCTTCCTGCCTCTCTCTCCCCTGCAAAGATGGACCCGCGGCGCCTGTAACAAAGACCCGGCCGGCGCCCTCCTTCCTCCCGACCGCCGCTCCGTGGGCCTCCTCTGCCGCCGCCGGGCTCGGGTTCGCCCCCTTGGCTGGCGGGGGAAGGAGTAGGAGGAGGGGGGCCGCTCTCTTTCTCGCCTCCTTCCCCCGGGACCCCCTGGGGCCGCAGGAGCCCTCTCCCCTGCCCCATGCCTTGCTGAGAGAGGCCATGGGAGCCCCGCTTTTCCACCCTGCAGCTGCTGGGAAGGGGCTGCCCAGTCGGTAGGGACTGAAAAAGACCCCCACCATCATTTCCCCCATTCAGCATCTCTCCCTATTCTTTGTTTTGTTTTTCCCCATTGGAAGCAATCTTTCCCTCCAATTCAACCCTTGCAGTGGATCCTTCCTTCCTTTCCTTCTTATCCACCTTCTTAAGATATACATTTCAATTAATATTCCCTGGACCCTTTCTTCCTTCCCTTCTTAAGACGTACATTTCAGTTAATACTTCCTTTTTGGGATCTCTAGTTTTGCAGGGGCTTTCCTGGAGCCTGTAGCTTTCCAAGCAGAGGACTAGGCTGAGATTGTGAAACTTTTTTCCCCTCCCCTCCCTCCCAAAAGCCCATAAACATAGCAACCATCTTTTCCATACTTTTCTGGATTCCACTCTTCTCTCCTCCTTGCAGATCCACATTGCAAAATTCCAGATTCCAAGGCAATAGGCCCCTTCCCTCTGTATTTTGAAGTGAACTTCTGATATTGACCCCCATATTCCTGATTCCAAGGGTCATCACTAATTCTTTTTCTCTCTCCTACTTGCAGACCCACCTTGCAAAGATTCTGCCCTCTTTTATCCATCCAAAAAGGCCCTTTCCCTCTGTATTTTGAAGTGCACTTCTGATATTGACCCCTATATTCCTGATTCCAAGGGTCTGAACTAATTCATTCTCTCTCCTACTTGCAGACCCACATTGCAAAGATTCTGCCCTCTTTATCAATCCAAAAAGGCCCTTTCCCTCTGTATTTTGAAGTGCACTTCTAATATTGACCCCTATATTCCTGATTCCATCGCTAATTCACATTCATTTATGCCCCCTAAAGTGTTGGAAAAGAGAGCCCGAGCTGCCTGTTACATTTCCAGACATCTTCCTAAGCTTCCAAAAGGGAAATAAATAAATTCTCCATATCTCTGCTATATACTGAGATATATTTTGATCGTTCGCATTTTTAACGTAATTGTTTATTCTGCAGAAATCTCATTGAACAGTTGTTATTCAGTAATAAATGCCTCATCTCTCTGCTAGATACATTTCGAGTTAGTTCGCATTTCTAATTCATTGTTTATTTTGCGGAAATCTCATTGAATTGTTGTTATTTGGACTGTCCAGTCGAGCAATCCTCTCCAACTGATTTTTCTACAGTCCAGATGCCCGCGAATCCGCTTGGACTCTTATTTTGAGACATTTGGACTCTTATTTTGAGACATGATCCTTTTCTTTTTGCAACCCAGCATTCTGAACTTCATGTCGTCCTTCATAGAAAACTCTTAAAAACTAGCGAGAAAAGTATTCCCCAAATCGTAGGGCAATGGTTTAGATCAAAGTAGGGTTTCTCGCATCTGAATTCCCCCCAAATTGAAAAACAAAAACCCACCAACTTTCAAACTGATCCATCATCAAAAGATAAATCGGACCGACATTTCCAGCAATTATTTAGGGGATTTCTTATTCTCAAAGTACCCCAAGATCCCGTTGTTTGTTGTAAGATGGTAGAACTTTAGAGAGACCTGGAAACCGAGTCCAGAGAAACCCTAAAAACAAGTCCGTATTTAGATAGATTCTTGAAAGCCCGTAATTTTTGAGCACCTAGGTTTCTTTGCTAGTCACCCTCAAAAGTCTTGCATAATTCTTTGGAAAGATACCGTGAAGTTCTTTCTTGACCCACAAGAGCACATCACACTTTCAATACTGGAAACAAGCAACCTCCCTCGCCGAATAGCATCCAGATCTGATATTTATTTCCTTGCGTCCAATGGCTTTTCAGGACCCCAATCATCCCTTGCAAGCTCAGCTTTGTAGCAATGTTTTTGGGGCTCTGACCGGGCTCATCCAACCCCCCTTAGCGGCTGGGCTGGGTGGCGGGCAGAAGTATTATTGCAATAATGGCATACAGATAGCCTCTCCGCAACAACAGCAAGCGGCGCCCGGTAGCGCGGTGATGGTCGAGCCGGAACCTGACCGGCCCATTGGTTATGGTGCTTTTGGCGTGGTATGGTAAGTGGGGAAACAAGGGAAGATGGGCGGGAATTCTAGAATCACTGAATTGGAGGAGACCCCAAGGCCATCCAGTCCCAACTTTTTTCGGCCATGCACGAAAACACAATCAAAGTACTCTTAACGGATAGCTGAGACATAGACAAACTTTGGCCCTCCGGATGTTTTGGACTTCAACTCCGACCATTCCTAACAGCCTCAGGCCCCTTCCTTTAAGCGGCTGAGGGGGGAAAGGAAAGGACCTGAGGCTGTTAGGAATGGTCGGAGTTGAAGTCCAAACACCCCAAGGTCCATGTCTGATCTAGCCGCTATACTCATATGACTTAAGATACAGAATGGGGGACGCGTGGCTTGAGAGCAGTACATGTGAAAAAGAACTTGGAGTCCTCATGGACAACAAGATAAACATGAGCCAACAATGTGATGCGGCGGCAAAAAAAAGCCAATGGGATTTTGGCCTGCATCAATAAGAAAATAGTGTCTAGATCCAGGGAAGTAATGCTGCCCCTTTATTCTGCCTTGGTTAGACCACACCTGGAATATTGTGGCCAATTCTGGGCACCACAATTGAAGAGAGATATTGACAAGCTGGAATGTGTCCAGAGGAGGGCGACTAAAATGATCAGGGGTCTGGAGAACAAGCCCTATGAGGAGCGGCTTAAGGAGCTGGGCATGTTTAGCCTGAAGAAGAGAAGGCTGAGAGGAGAAATGATAGCCATGTATAAATATGTGAGAGTAAGTCATAGGAAGGGGGAGCAAGCTTGTTTACTACTGCCCTGGAGACTAGGACGCAGAACAATGGCTTCAAACTACAAGAAAGGAGATTCCATCTGAACATGAGGAAGAACTTCCTGACTGTGAGAGCTGTTCAGCAGTGGAACTCTCTGCCCCGGAGTGTGGTAGAGGCTCCTTCTTTGGAAGCTTTTAAACAGAGGCTGGAAGGCCATCTGTCGGGGATGCTTTGAATGCAATTTTCCTGCTTCTCGACCAGGGGTTGGACTGGATGGCCCATGAGGTCTCTTCCACCTCTATGATTCTATGACTTTTTAAACTGCTGCATTACACCATGGATTTGTGGTCTGCTAAGACTCCTCGATCCCTTTCACATGTATTGTTTCCAAGGAAGAGACTACAGCATTGTGTTTTTCTGTCTGCAGGTCAGTGACAGATCCCCGCGACGGATCTCGAGTTGCACTCAAAAAGATGCCCAACGTTTTCCAGAACTTGGTCTCTTGCAAACGGGTCTTCAGAGAGCTGAGAATGCTCTGTTACTTCAAGCATGACAACGTGAGTGGGCGCAGGTTGCAGGGCCTTCTGTGGCTTGAAGCTTAACCTTTTGACTTCCTCTTGCATCTGCACATCCTGGTCAGAGCATGAAGGAGAAATATGCTTTATGTATTGTCGAAGGCTTTCATGGCCGGAATCACAGGGTTGTTGTGTGTTTCCTGGGCTGTATGGCCATGTTCCAGAAGTGTTCTCTCCTGATATTTCGCCTGCATCTATGGCAGGCATCCTCAGAGGTTGTGAGGTCTGTTGGAAATTAGAATCGTAAAAGTAAATAATGAACAGCACTCAAAAACAGAGGAATTCTACACAAGAAACAATAAGAGTGAGCTAATTACCTCCCAACAAAGGATTCCCCCAAACAGGAAGAAGCCAGTCTTTGAAAATGCTAGACCAGTGGTTCTCAACCTGGGGTCCCCAGATGTTTTTGGCCTTCAACTCCCAGAAATCCTAACAGCTGGTAAACTGGCTGGGATTTCTGGAAGTTGTAGGCCAAAACACCTGGGGACCCACAGGTTGAGAACCACTGTGCTAGACCATTAAATGCTTATCAAGGTGGCCAATTGCTACATCCACACCTACCTCAAATAGACAAGAGTTCTTTCTTCCACCCTGGACATTCCACAGATATATAAACCCCATTTTCCTAGTTTCCTAGTAACTCCCAGTCTTTCGTAACATTGTACTGTGATGGTTTAGAGTGGTGTCAGACCACATTGTAGCCAATGCACAGTAGGTTAAAGTGCTGAACTTGTTGACCGAAAGATCAACGGTTCAAATCTGGGGAGCGGGGTGAGTTCCTGCAGTTAGCTCCAGCATCTGTCAACCTAGCAGTTCAAAAGTATGCAAATGTAAGTGGATCAATAGGTACCGCTTCTGCAGGAAGGTAACGGCGCTCTGTGTAATCATGCTGGCCACATGACCTTGGAGGCGTCTACGGACAACACCGGCTCTTCAGCTTAGAAATGGAGATGAGCACCACCCCTCCAGAGTCGGACACAACTAGATCTTTACCTTTACAGACCACATTAATTTGTAGTATGGGTGCAGCCCTATTGAACTCCATTTTTTAAAGTTCTGCAAGGATATGTAGATTGGACTACCCAGAGCTGCATAGGTATCTTATCCCACCTGTGTGTCTATGACCTGACAATTAAAAACCACTTTTCCTTGTGAATGCTCTTTCCTTTTTCTTCCTCAGGTCCTCTCAGCGTTGGACATTCTCCAGCCTCCACAAATAGACTGTTTTGAGGAAATGTATCCTTCATCCCACACATAACCTGATGGAGCTGTAATTATTTGTCTATTATTTCTTCATCAATCTTGTCTCACTCTCCATATGTTCCTGCTTTTTTTCCTAGGTGTCCTTTCCCCCCACCATTAGGCATTTGTTTTCTTTATTTCCTTGTTTAATTTCCCGAGGTTATGTTTGTTAGGTTGTTTGCTTTTCACTCCTTCGGCTGCCATTGTTTTGTATTTCGTTTCATTTGGCTTCTTGTTTACCATCTGTGTTTAGTTCCTTTGCAGTTGCTGTCAACCTTTCCTTCAGTCTTTTCCCCCTCCTTGTCTTCTCCCACATTTGTTTCACAGCTTTTAGTGTATTCTTGGCAGAATCACAGTTCCTTTCTCAACATCATCTATCACATTTTATTTTTCTTCACTCCTCGTTTTATCAGATCTTATTCTCTCGGCTTTCACGCCTCTCCTTACTAGAGTCTTCTCCAACTTGGTGCCATCCAGATGGACTAAATTTACCATGCTTTTGTGGATGAAATGAGTTGTCCAACATGCCTGGAGGGTGTCCAGTTAGGGAAGATTATGGTATTATACTATTTTATCTGCTATACTGGTTTGTCCTCTCCAATTACTGTATATACTCGAGTATAAGCCTAGTTTTTCAGCCCGTTTTATAGGCTGAAAATGTTCCTCTCGGTTTATACTCATGTCAAGGTTATTTATTATTTTATTCTGTTATTATTATTATTTTATTACATGTATTATTTTACTCTATTTATTATTGTTATTATTACATTTATCTAGACCAAACTCTACACGAATACTCAATATGCCCAAATGTGAACACTGGTGGAGTTTGGGGAAAATAGAATCTTGACATTTGGGAGTTGTAGTTGCTGGGATTTAAGGTCTATTTTCCCCAAACTCCATCTGTGTTCATATTTGGGCACATGGAATATTCATGGCAAGTTTGGTCCAGATCCAGCATTGTTTGAGCCCAAAGTGCACTCTGGATGTAGGT